TTGGTAGAACCGCCAACCCGCACTCGATTTTAGTCCATAAAAGCTCTGGCTTTCTGGGTACCAGACTACCCTTCTACTGGAGTTCCAATGCCAGTGTTCTCCAAAGCAGTGGTCGCTGGACTGGTACCTTCCTCTGAATGTCATTTGGAGACTCAGCGGTTGCCTTTTTCATGCATGGTGCAAAAGGACCAGAAAACATCACGAGGATAGACGCCAAAAAGAATTTGGCTATCTTGGTCTCCTCAAACTTGCACCATGAGAAATCGGCCCAAAAGGCATTCGCCATCTAACGGATGATCCGACGCACCATTCCCCGGCATTACTAGCATGGACTTCAAAATACTCTATGGGGCCTACGTCAGACCGCTCCTCTAATACGCCAACCAACTTGTCCACTCAGGACGCGCGAAAGACGTCACCCTCATTGAGCGTGTCCAGTGAGCCGCTACGCGAATGGTTGCTGGCCTCAAATCCGTGGACTACGAAACGCGTCTCGTGATGCTTGAGCTCGTTCTTCTAGAGTATCGTCGCCTCTGAGGGGACCTAATTCTTACTCATGCGCTGTTTGAACAAAGCTTGGCAAACAGGGCTTTCACCGTTGACCCAGCAAACACAGGGTGGGGACACGGTTGGAGGATTTTCAAGCTCAGAGCGCACATAATCATCAGGCAAAATGTTTCTCATTTCGGGTAGTAGCTGCGTCGAATGACCTCCCTCGAACGGTTCTACACGCTACTTCTAGAAACCAGTTTAAATCATTGTTTGACGCTCATTCTTACGAATCCTTGCGCTGGCACGCATACTGCCTCGCGCTGAGAACATAAAGATCAGTGCTAAACCCTTTTTTCACTTGTGCCCTTCAGGTGAACGACAGACGCTGAACGACAGGAAGAAAACCAACCCGGGAAACTTTGGCAGAAGCCTCAATATTGTGTACAATCCGTGAATCTGTGAACAATTTCATACCCCCTTTCCGGAGCAACAAGCAGCACCATCCCCATGACCCTTCAAAATTTCAGCAAACCACACTCACTGCATGCTTGGTAATACCTCGTATCCGCCACGACCAAATCCTACCTTTGAAATCCCATCTTGTTCAGTCAACCAGCTCACAAACTTCCCTCACACTCGAAAATCATCTCCACGTGCACCACTCTCATCTTCGCCCACGTTTCGCTGCCCCACGACCTTGAATCTTCTGAGCTTCAATTAGAAGTTACGCGCTACATTAGGGTCTTTCTATATAATAGGATAGTCCAAATGGGAGTTGGCTCAATCTTGCTTCTACTGCACCGGACTCCATTGGCTCAAGCCTCAAGACTCCGTTCTAGATCCACTTCTGTTTCTAATCTACGTCATTGGCCTTCCGGATGCGCATTCATATTCACGTCTACCTCATAGGACGATTAGAAATACTGGAGTTGCAGCGCCTGCGCCTGTAGCTACCATTTCGCCACATACATGACTCTACAGGTCACCACCACTCGATCACTCACTCGATAGATCACGAGATCTATCTTTTTTCCTTGCACTCACAAAACACGCCACACAACAGTGACTCACTTGACTACACAGCTGACAGTCAAGCCCTAGATCCCAAGACCTCGTTTTTTCCCTANACAACCGCGATACACAACGGGGACTCATCTGATATCGACTGTCTACCGTCTGATACGGCAGCAAAAAGTCATGTGCTGATACCACACACACGCAAACGTTCCTACAAATAGGATACCAGCACAGCAATATAAAAAAATCAACGGAGATTCGCACGTCACCCAGCTCGGAGCAGAGCCGCTTGGGACTTACAGCGCTTCACTCACGGATTTTCAGGAATGCGTGTGGCTGCTACAACAGTGAAGAAAACACGAAGCCTGCATCCGGACTCACAACAGGATTTACCAGCCTGAATCTGCAACACGATAAGTCCCCTTGTTCGCATATACACCTATTGTAATAATTTTTACTCAGTAAGCTGATATTGGTAGTGCTCCCCGTTTTCTCGTTCGTATGGCTAGTTTTCGGGTTCCGTTAGAGCATTAACACGTCCTCCAAAAGGGCGTCGAGTTTGCAGAGCATTCTTTACTGAACTGAGAACCCTCTCTTAATGATGAGGAGTGCGTCTACATATATATCAGAAGGGACTGATGGAGGACCTTGGTTGCACATGATGAGAACGGAGCAGGAGATATCAGAAAGATAGATACCAAAAATGGTCTCGCAATCCTGGCTCTCGTCGAAGATGCCATTCTGACTCGACCGCAACAAATCGGCAACTGCGGTTCCATGAATAATTTGACGCGCACTTATATTATCCACACTATGGTCTAGATAATCAATGGGGTCCGCTTTAGACCACTTCTTGAATGCTCTACATATGCTGGCCTCTTTTGCTACAAGAAGGGCGTAAGCTTATTGAGCGTGTTCATTGAGCTGCTAGTTGAAGGTTGCTGGCCTCGAATCCGTTGAATTTTCAATGCTCCCTGTGGTGCCTTAACTCCTTCATATAGGCTGTCGTCGCTTCCCAGTGGACTTAATACCTATATGCGCATCGTTTGACCTGCATGTACAACACTGATGTAACGACCGTTTCGAATCCTTGAGCAACGAGCACCAAGGTTAGCAACCAAACCGGCAAAACTCCGAACGAATGGCTACGCAAATGTGCTGTACTATAAAAATGAGAGTAGTTACACGGAATACAAAATTACAAACCTCAACGGTTGTCGACAAAGAGTGAGGTACTCCAAAAGGCAAGCAAAGCCGATATGGATCAACAGTCAACGCGTGACCGAAACCGCGTCTCAAACTCATGAATTAAAACAAGATATAGCTGCCCAAGGATTTGGTACAAAAATAGTATAACCAGAGCGGTAAAAACTATTTGCGCGGTAAGGAAAACGGAGAATATAGATGTCTTGTAAAACTGAAATGGGGTACAGTTCCATCAGTCCAAAAAGGGCGGTCCATTTGAATTGTTAACCGTGAAGGCAGTTATTGAAGATTGGAGACAGTTTT